AGGCATTTTGTCGAGCATTTTCAGATATATTATTCTAGGCTCTTATCAATACCCCATCGGTTACTACATTGCGATTGTCATCGGTTTGTGTGTTATTTTTTGCCCCATTTTATTGCCGCTAAAACTTTATCATTTTATCCCTGGAAACAAAGTCTAGTATTAATGTTGTTTTTTGTAATGATTTGTTATAACAAGTAATAGAGTAAAGGATTGCATAAGAAAATAGTTTTCGTATTAATAATAAGTAAAAAGAAAATTTAGTTATCAAATCTATTCCCATAATAATGCAAAAACATTTTAACAGTTAAAGTATAACTCAAATGTTAGGCATTTTCTTACAATAATCAGTTTTGATGTAAATTGAAAATATTTTACATACCGTACTTTTAAGATATATAAACACTTCAAAAGTTTATTATCAAAATATTAATTATTATTCTTGTTATAATAGTTATATTATGACAAAATTATAATATTGTTTTCTACTATAATTTTATAAGTAAAAATGACATTGATAATTTTATATTAGGTTCGGTGTCGGGTATGATCTCAATAGCCGTTCGTTCAAAGCTATCAAAACTGGTCAAAACGGATGAATTGGGTAAAGTGTTCAGTCTATTGGCAACTCTGGAGTCGGTGTCACCACTGATCGCATCCCTAGTCTTCACGTTTATCTTTGAGTCGACTTTGAATTACTTTCCCGGCCTTTGCTATGAAGTGAGCGCCGCTCTAATGATACCCCCATTGCTTGCCATGACATGGATTGGTGTCACAATTGATCAGCAATCATGATCGTTTATATTTTTGCGAAAAAGTCTAGATCACGCATGCACAATTTAAAATATACAGTAAAAGATCATTTGGGTGAAGTGATTGGGTTTTAGCATTTGGTTCACACAAGTGATCCATTCATACAAATGATCATGCTAAAAATATGAGTAAAAACATTAATTTTTTAATTGACATTCAAAATTTCACATTTTAATTGTTATATGATAAATTGTCTGTAATTTTCTGTTGTTTTAGTGATTTAAATGAAGTTTTAAACAATTGTGTTAGAATTTGATTCAATTGTTCATTAAATCAGTTGGCATTCAAATGGCAAAAATATATGGTTCACACAACAGATCCTAAAATGCATTGAATGTTGTATAATAATAGCTCTAAATTGTTCACACAAATGATTCGTTCACACAGGTTGACGTTCACACAAATGGTACTTTTTTAACATTATGTCTATGCAGTGCGGGTTTTGGTTTAATTGCGTGCGAAATGTTTGACATAAACTTCCACATGTAAGTCAATAAATATTTGTTTCAAAAATTGTTTATAACGTTCACACAGGTGACGTTCACACAAATGGTACTTTTTTAACATTATGTCTATGCAGTGCGGGTTTTGGTTTTAGGGTTTGGTTCATACAAATGGTTAGTTCACACAACTGCTACTTCACCCAAATGATCCAATACTGTAATTTAATTGCATCTAATTGTAGTAATTTGTTAACTTATTGTTAATTTGTTTTTTAAAATCTAAATGTTAATATTTAATTATTATTATTGCATTGTAAATTATAAGTCTATAAATGTTTATAAGACTATAACACGTATACACTCTGTATATTATATTTAGTACTATTGTGTTTTTACATAGGAATGCATTGAAACATTAGCCTACTATAAACACATGTGGATTAGGCATTTGTAATCCGATTTTAATAAACTTGGATGTTTTTAAACAAGTATAAATTACACTTTAATTTCATGTACTCTTTTTATAATTTCACTAATGTCCCGGTCATTTCAACGCCAATATTTAAAGTTATGGCATTTGCGCGAAATAATAAAAGAATAAATTTGTTAATTTACTCCAAATTTAAAATAAATGACAAAATTTTTTAAAATACCATTAATTTATAATAAAAGTATTTTAACCAAGATAATAAGTTTGATAATTGACATATGCGAGCGATTATTTAAAGAAATAATGCATAAATGTCTAAATCCATAATAAAATTATTGTGAAAAGCACAGTTGACCAAATTTAAATATTATGTCAAATAAACTAATAAGTTATCATGACCACTTTATATAATTGATAAGAACCCGGATAATCGATATAAAAGTTAATGCATTAATTTAATCAAATTAATTTTGTTATAAGATTGCACCAAATTGCCTTATTTACTGTATACAGGGTGTAAAAAATTATTGTGAAAAGCACAGTTGACCAAATTTAAATATTATGTCAAATAAACTAATAAGTTATCATGACAAATTTATAAAATTAGTACCACTTATCTGAGACAACAATTTACAGAAATAAGGTAGGTCCTAAAAATCTAGAATAATATTAATGTGAAAATTTTTACTATAATTGCTTCTGATTAGCTAACCGTCCGTTAATCCAAATTTAATTTATTGTGATTTAATATTGAATTAATACCAATTAATTTCAATTACTAACTGAAAAGAAAAATACTTCTAATCAATGTTAATTTTTTTGTAGAATATAAGCTATAAAATAGTACTGAGTATATTATACACCCTGTATACAGTAAATAAGGCAATTTGGTGCAATCTTATAACAAAATTAATTTGATTAAATTAATGCATTAACTTTTATATCGATTATCCGGGTTCTTATCAATTATATAAAGTGGTCATGAATTGCAAAATATATGCTAAAAATGATAATTACTGATAATTGTCAGGTAATAATTAAATTTGTTGAAAATTAAATAATCATTAAATATAAGGGGTCTCGAAAAAATTTGGCCGTCGGAATTTGGCGATTACCCGGGAACCGTTGAAGTGACACTAGTGTTACTTCACACATATATAGAGCCATATCGGGAAAATTTTATAGCATAAATATTTTTTCAGTCACGTGATTATTTTTTCTGAAAAATGGGATAAGTCTATGGCATAGGAATAACATGGGTAATGCTAAGTCTATGGACAATGATAAGTCTATGTGTAATGCTAAGTCTATGGCATATGGATAACATGTGTAATGGTATATCAATGGAACAATGGGATTATAAATGAATCTGCCATCATAAATAGAACTCATTGTTGTCAAAAACATTTAAAATTCTCAAAATAATAATAGTGTAACTGTTACACTGTAACTATTCTAACAATAGTATTAAAATATTTAAAATCTTTAATGCATTTCCCGAATAGTGGTTAACGTATAGCATCGCTGTGTGATCCTTGTTTTTAAATATCATATATAGTCTAATAATAAATCTTCAACAAACAATATTTAAATCTTTATTATGTTAATTACAGGGAAATAAATTGCAAAAATTAAATAATAAAGCCGTTTATTGCATAATTACAAAAAATAAAAATCATGATTGCGGATCAATTGTGACATTAATCCAAATCGTGGTAATGTCTGATTTAATATAATTAAACTTGAAAACAAGTAATGCGATCAGTGATGATCTAGAAACTTGTATTTGCCAATCGGCTGAAGAATTTATCAATTTGTGTTTAATTATAAATTATGCCAATTATAACTAATAAATAACCAATATATAAGTCAATACAAATTTTGATGAATAAATAATTATTGAAAAATTGATTTGAAAAATGTTTGAGTAGATGCTTGTAATATTTATTGTAATCGTTATAAACATCAATCGCATTGACAGTGCAGTTGTTGATCAGCGCCTGTATGTGAGCACTTGTCGGTCGCTTTTCATGGTATCGGTCTATCATATTAAACAGGGTATTGACGAGTGACTCGAACTTTTGGTCCGATATCGAGAAGTGGTTTCTTTTGGAAACCTCTGGCGAACTAAATATAATTGATTAAAACAATATTATTGTTTTAATATTATTTATAGAGCTACTATTATAGTAATACTTTAGTACAGTTTTGACAATAATGTACATTAGACATGCAACTTTTTCCAATTATCATTTCCCGTCCCGTTCCTCTTCCCTCGTTTTTGATAAGAGGGAATCCCGTCCCGACCCGCTACAGGGAAGATTGAATCCCGGAAATCCCTCTTTTTCCCTCATTTTCCCTCAAAATTAATTGGACTAAAAAAATTTGCTGATTTCACAGTGCATTTCATTTACAATACAATATATTGTTATCTAGACATCTGCTACAGTAATACACAATTAGTGTTGTCCAAAGTTAATCGGCTAAAAAATTTTAACCGGTTAACCGGGTTAAAGTCAAGGATTTTTTTTTACCGATCGGTTAAAAGTCAAAGCATTTTTTTACCGACGGTTAACCGGTTAACCGATTGACCGCTACGTAATTGATGTCACAGCAGTAATTGGTAATAATAACTAATAATTTTAATAAAAGCAGTCATAATTCATTAATAGAGTTACACCCTTTTTGCAAAATAACCTCAAAAGTAAAAAATACTCTAAAATTTTTGCAATATACCCTAAAAATAAGGGTATTTTACAAATATATTAGAGCATAATGACGTCAGCCGACCAAAAAACGGTTAACCGGTTAACCCCGGTTAACCGTGGTTAAGGTTAAATTCAAAGATTTTTTTGACCGATCGGTTAACGGTCATGCCATTCTTTGACCGGTTAACCGTTTGGACAACACTACCACAATTTGTAACACAATTTTGTACAATTTAGTACACAAAAACTATATTTATATTGTAGGGAATTAGGGGAGAAATGATGGAAAAAGAGGGAAATTTATAAGAGGGATTCCCGTCCCGTCCCGCTTCACTCATTTCATTTCCCTGTTCCTCTTTTTCCCTCAGAGGGAAGAGGGATTCCCTCTTGCAAGTCTAATGTACATTACAAAAATACTGTATTATTCCTTCCGTTTTTATTACTTAAACAGACAAAAAAAAGTGCACACAAATACAACATTAACAAACAATAGGGGGTGGGAAACAGTTTGTGGTTAGGGCTGACAGCTAGTAATTATTATCGCACCTATTATATAGATGTATATTATGAACTTATTACACAATTTTTTATTTTCCTTTGACTTATAATCTCTTTATAATCTCTTATTTACAACTTTTACTAGTCTGATTATTAAATGATTTATAAAGTTTAGCTCTAATTATTTATAAATAAAAACTTATATTCACTTACGTATAGAAGTTTACGCCAAACATTTCGCACGCAATTAAACCAAAGCTATAAATATCGCATTTGGTGTTATAATGACCGCTAAATTTGACCTCCGGTGCCATATATTTCTCAGTACCCGCGCCGCGAGTGTGACTCTGAGAGCCCGACTCGTCAAACACGGAGAGACCGAAGTCTGATATCTTGACGAACCAATCCATGGGGTGGTTATGGCCGACCAGAATATTCTCGGGCTTTAAATCCCGGTGAATGATAGGAGGGTCCGATGAATGCAAATACTCTAAGCCCTGGTTTATGTCAGAAAATATTTTTAATAAAAAGTAATATTCAGTTAAACCAATGATTTTTTCCGTCGATTGTCTTCGAAATAAATTCATTCTGATGTCCAAAATGGTCCTCAAGTTGTGATCGCAGTATTGCATCAAAATATAAATGGATTGATTGTCTTTAATCCATGCGCTCTTATATTTAATAATGAATTCATTATTAAGTTTAGTCATTGTCTGAAACTCACGACACGCTTTGTAAGGATTGGATTTTTCTAAATAAAAATTGATTAATAATAACCGAATCGTATGCTGAAAAATTAACAACATTACTTTCAATGGATATTTTTTTAAGAGCATAAACTATGTCGTCGTTTTTATTGACCACTTTATAAACAGAGCCGAAAGCCCCTGTACTTATAGCCTCGATAATTTCAAAAGTTGTTTCAAATTGTGTTTTAAACGCGTAGATTAATTGCGAATCTTGTTCAACGAGTTTAAACGGTGGTTTATCAGTGATCGAAATGTCTGTTATTTGTGATGGCAATAGACTTATTGGACCTAATTTTTCATTATTTTCTAAAGGTGTAGCTCTACTAGTATTAGTGTCTAAACTAATATTTAATTCAACTGGATTCTCTATATCAATAGACAATTTACTGACTAGATAATTGTAGAAAAATTGATTTGGAAAATGTTTGAGTAAATTCTTGTATTTTTTAATAAAGTCTTCATAAACATCAATCCTATCGACAGTGCAGTTGTTAATCAGCGCCTGTATGTCAGCACTTGTCGGTCGTTTTTCATGGTATCGGTCTATCATATTAAACAGGGTATCGACGAGTGATTGAAACATCTGGTCCGATATTGCGAAGTGATTTCTCTCGGAAACCTCTATTGAACTATATGATTACATTAAAAATAATTTAATTAACAACATTTTATTTAATATAATTTGATAGGACATATTTCAATATTCACTTACGAATAGAAATCTATGCCAAACATTTCGCACGCAATTAAACCAAAACTAAAAATATCGCATTTAGTGTTGTAATCGCCGCTAAATTTAACCTCCGGTGCCATATATTTCTCAGTACCCGTGCGTTGAGTATGACTTTGAGAGCCGGACTCGTGAAACACGGAGAGACCAAAGTCTGATATCTTGACGAACCAACCGTTGGGGTTGTGGCGGACGACCAGAATATTCTGGGGTTTTAAATCTCGGTGAATAATCGGCGGGACTAATGAATGCAAATATTCTAAGCCCTGGTTTATCTCAGAAAATATTTTCAAGAATAAATAATATTCGGTTAAACTGATAGGCGTTTTGGTCGATTGTCTATTAAATGCATTCATTCTGGTGTCCAAAATGTTCCTCAAATTATAGTCGCAGTATTGCATCTGAATGTAGACAAACTGATTGTCTTCAATCCATGCGGTCTTATACTCAATAATGGATTCATTGTTTAGTTTAGTCATTGTCTGAAATTCTCGAAAGCCTTTATAGTAAACCGATTTATCTATAATTTAATATACATAATATAATGTATTATTAATTCAACATTTTATTGATATAATTAACATTACTTTCAATGGATATCTTCTTCACGGCATAGAGTTTGCCGTCTGTTTTATTGATAACTTTAAACACAGAGCCAAACGCACCGATATTTATGGGCTCAACTGAATTAAACGTGGTCTCAAACTTGCCATCGCAGGCGTAAACTAATCTCTTTTTATTTTTCAAAAATCCAGGTCTAAATGGCTTTCGTTTCAATGAAAGTATATTCATTAAACTTAAAAATACATCCACGGTTTTAAATGTTTTGTCTTTGGGTGTTATGAACAGTCCACGAGTGGACAAAATTCCATCGCTGTCCAGATGCAGAGTTTTATAAGTAATTTGTTTTCCTTTGAAATATTCAAAAAAGTTTCCAAAATTTGTTTTAATAAACTGTTTGTTATAACATTGATAGACAAACTCCTTCTCCACCAACAGTTCTAATGGTTTGGCTTCAAAATGGGAGCAATATATGTCCAGCACTTTATTCATGTTAAATATCATTGGATTTCCATAGGATTGATAAACATTTGAATTTTTCTTAACTATTTCCGCATCGACGGCACCACAAAAGTACACGTATTGATCACTCGTCAAGAAATAGCTGTTTAATTTATTACCGCACACTTTGATCACATCCTTCAATCCGGTGACAAGTCTGGGCTTGCGACTGGTATTGTCGTGACCTAATATTCCGTACTCATTGCGACCCCAACTGTAGACCTGGCCATCGATGGTCACCGCATACGAGGACTCAAAGCCAGCAAAAACGTACTTGATCTTATTTTTCAGGGCTAACTTTAGCGGTGCCGATATGTTATCAGTGGGTTTGCCGGACACCTGTCCGGACGTGTTATCACCCCATCCGTAGACTTTTCCATCTGACGTGAGGGCCAACGAGTGTTTTCTGCCGCAACTTATTTGCACAATATATTCATTTTGCGGGAATACAATCTCCGCGGGTTTGACAAAATGATCGTAATTGGTATACCCTCTGCCCAATTGTCCCTTATTATTGTTTCCCCAACTTATAAGGTCGCCGTCTGATGTCTGGGCGATCATAAAGTCATAGCCTTCGCTGAAATCGCAAATCCCTATAAATGATAGCTCTTTAATATGTTGCGGCTCTTTGACGGCCGATGTCTGGTCTAAACCCAAGAAACCGCAACTATTGGCCCCCAAACCGTACGCCTTGTCCTCAGTTGTGATTAATATGATGTTATTATCAAATTGTGTGTTGTTTTTGTCGATATCGGCGAAAATAACAAACAATTTCGTTTTGCACTTCAGATGATTGGGTATTAATTTGCATATTTTATAGTCATTTAAAACATTAGAAACCCTGGGTTTGGGCCAAACGGTTGACATATCGCCGACGAGGTAATTGTCTCCGATATTTATAGTCACATATTATGAGTCGACTGTAAACATGGTTGATATTGACCATGGACTTACTCCTATAACACAGAGACAACTTGTGGTGTTTAAATGCAAAATGATCGCGTTCAATTTGTAGCAAACACAATTTAATTTAATAATATTGTTATAAAATAATACTTAATGAGAACTGAATGAGAAATGCACTAAATTATCATTTTTCTTATAATAATATTAAATAATAGTAAGTTTGTTTTTTATAACTTTTACTATTATCTCTAAATATATATATAAACTAAATATATAATTGGTTATTGTTATATCACACGATATATTCAATTATACTCAAGTCATACGTTATATAAATCAGACTATATAACCATAGATACTAATATAACACTAATTTTCATATCATTTAGTATTGGTAATACAACAAAACTATTTTCTAGACTCTATTAAGAACTATTGTTGTTAGCATATAAGTAATGACTATGATCATTGTGATTCATGAATAATGTATGTAACAAGTTATATAATCTGACAACTTGTGAGTGTAATCATTTAGGTTCTTATCGCTTAATCGTTAGTTTGTCGTAAAACAAGCAAAACACACTTCAATTTACCTCAAATTTTTTAATATTTCACAATTTGTCTTATATAAATAATACTTTTCATTAAATTTTTATATAAGGGGTCTCGAAAAAATTTGGCCGTCGGAATTTGGCGATTACTCGGGAACCGTTGAAGTGACACTAGTGTTACTTCACACATATATAGAGCCATATCGGGAAAATTTTATAGCATAAATATTTTTTCAGTCACGTGATTATTTTTTCTGAAAAATGGG